TTCATTGTTAAGTCTACGTAGTGTAAAATGTTTCATTGTTAAGTCTACGTACTGTAAAATGTTTCATTGTTAAGTCTACGTACTGTAGAATGTTTCATTTTTAAGTCTACGTAGTGCAAAGTGTTTCATTGTTAAGTCTACGTACTGTAGAATGTTTCATTGTTAAATCTACGTAGAGTAGAATGTTTTATTGTTAAATATACATACTGTAGAATGTTTCATTGTTAAGTCTACGTAGAGTAGAATGTTTCATTGTTAAGTCTACGTACTGTAGAATGTTTCATTGTTAAGTCTACGCAGTGTAGAATGTTTCATTGTTAAGTCTATGTACTGCAGAATGTTTCATTGTTACGTCTACGTAGTGTAGAATGTTTCATAAGTCTACGTACTGTAGAATGTTATATTGTTAAGTCTACGTACTGTAGAATGTTTCATTGTTAAGTGTACGTATTGTAGAATGTTTCATTGTTAAGTCTACGTAATGTAGAATGTTTCATTGTTAAGTCTACGTACTGTAGAATGTTTCATTGTTAAGTCTGCAACTATGAAGATAGTTCAACTAATGATGGCTTTGAAGAGACCGAGAACACCCGTAACACTGGAGCCACGAAAATATTCGTGTTCAGCAAAATGACGTCACTAACGTGTAGCGAGTGGCACAGCGCATGCTTGTTGCTAAATTCTTAGACTGGGTTCTAGATGTGAGGAAATAGTATTATATGACCATTCGAAGAACCTTTTGCCCCGTGAAGAGTAAAACTTCATTTTAACTCCAGTGGAACTCTGTCTACCTTTTTTAAACAGGTCGGTAAACATTGCCTTGTGAATTATCTTAGTTGAAACACACATTAAAAAACAGTAAAACTACTGCAGCTTTAAAGTAATTAATTGTTTTCATTAAGTTCATATTGTTAAGTAAGTCTAAGCGCAAGGTTCACACGACAAAACCGTGTGTTAAATACACTAACATCGAACATTTTCGTAGTTCCGAACAAATGTGTATCTCATTTTTTTACACTTTATTTCGTACGAACTTTTTTAGATATCTTACAATAGCGTAAGTTCCGTAGTAGCTTATCATTTAGGTATAAACTTTACAATAGTATTTCAATATATTAACCCTTTTTTTTTTCTGTTTAAAATTCGCAGAGTCCCCTTAATGAGTAACTGAGAACTTAAAGAAAAGGAATCCGACCCGTTATTATTCCCTTTAAAAGAACATCAGGTTTTAAAATTAATATGTTATTGTTAGTGACGCTAATAGCATTGTTTATATTTTAATATCATTGACTTTAACAATATCACTGTTAATTATCTTTATTATCAATAGCTAGCAATATGTTTATATTTTATTTATAGTTACCCTAATATCAGAGTTTGACTTGTCCAGTTTTGTATATTATGATGTTTTATATTGGCTTTGTTTTTAAAAATTTCCCTTTATTTTCGTGAAACTCCCCCTACAAGTTGAAGTTTGCTGGTGCATCCCTGTGTTCATAGGCACAGAGATAGATATGGATTGAATTGTTTTAGCGTTTTGATTTACTATAGGGGTAATTTGTGAATTAATTTTTTTAATATATCTAGTAAAAAGGAACATTTTAAATATTTATCTCCACACACGTTTTTTAGTGCTCCCGCCAATAAAATATTCGTACGCAGGTTAAACAGCCAGGACAGAAGACCCTAATTTTCGTGTATATCCATCCCTGCTTTTTTAGTTACTAACCCTAATGGTGGAAGCTGTTCAGTAACACCCGCTGCCACGTGGAATGACCCTTTAAACCGAGTAATGGGTTTTACTGTCACTCTTATAACTCAACAACAGCTGAAAATGAGAATTAAAGGTGGCATTGCGATAAGAACCTTGGGTGGATCTTGCGATATGCAGTCAGGCACGTTAACCACTAGGCCACGCCTATCCCATCGATTATGTTAGCTTTTATCATAAGAAAAAAATTAAAATAACACTTCATTTCATGAGGCCATCCTTTCTTTGAGCTACGACCAAAATATTCGAATTTAAATACCAATGGGCTAGAACATTTAAATTAAATTTCTTGTTTGTCAGTTGAACAAGAATAATGTTTAGCCACAATCTTTGCTACAATGTTTACAACGTCAAAAAAAAAAGGGTGAAAACAAACAAAATCAAATCCTTATGCTTATCTTCTACTACCACAAGCGCCCCCCCCCCCAGTGGCACAGCGGTATGTCTGCGGACTTACAACGCTGGAATTCGGGTTTCGATACCCGTGGTGGGCAGAGCACAGGTAGCTCATTGTGTAGCTTTGTGCTTAATTACAAACAAACAAACAATACTAACACAAGCTGGTGCGCAGCGACCTCTACTTGAAACCAAGGCGGTGCTACCGCATCCCCAGTTTCTATATTGGTTTGTTCAATTAATTCTTTGTGTTTTCTTCTTTTAGTCACTATTTACTAAATAGAAACCTCTTTTAATTTCAAACAAAATGGGCACGCTGAAATTATTTTATGCAAATATGAAATTGAAGTAATGGCACGTTGTCATACGTAATTGATGTATATTTTCTGAAGAAGTGAAAGACCAAACGGTATTGGAAACCAGTTCGCTGCCAAATTTCGCTTTTACTTCAATGATTTCTAAGAACACAATTCCTGGTCAGCTTCTAAAGCTCGTTTATATATTGCTTTGTTTGTTTGTTTGTTTTTTTAAATTAAGCACAAAGCTACACAATGGGCTATCTGTGCTCTGCCCACCACGGGTATCGAAACCCGGATTCTAGCGTTGTAAGTCCGCAGACATACCGCTGTGCTAATGGGGGGCTATATATTGCTACTAAAATTGATTTTTTATTTAAAGTAAGCATCTGTTTTGTGTTAACGGTAAAGTCGATAGAACATCACATGTGTTGGTGTCTGTGAAATACTTCGTTGCTAATTAGGAACTCGTGCTTAGTAAACAAATAATAAGTTTTTATTTCATTATGACTTTCAGTTACTTGATTCTCCGAGTGGTTCCACTTTAAGATTTAGGTCACATACTCTCGATACCGGTCTCACCTGTCCATCTCAAAACGAATAATAATAGCCGTACCGATCTAATATTTCCATCTCAAAATGAATGGTACGTTCGATACAGGTCTAATCTGTCCATCTCAAAATGAGTGATACTCTCGTTACCGGTCTCATCTACCAATCTCAAAATGAATGGTATGTTCGATACAGGTCTAATCTGTCCATCTCAAAATGAATGGTACGTTCGATACAGGTCTAATCTGTCCATCTCAAAATGAATGGTACGTTCGATACAGGTCTAATCTGTCCATCTCAAAATGAATGATACTCTCGTTACCGATCTAATATTTCCATCTCAAAATGAATGGTACGTTCGATACAGGTCTTATCTACCCATCTCAAAATGAATGATACTCTCGTTACCGGTCTAATCTCCAATCTCAAAATGAATGGTACGTTCGATACAGGTCTAATCTGACCATCTCAAAATGAGTGATACTCTCGTTACCGGTCTCATCTACCAATCTCAAAATGAATGATACTCTCGTTACCGGTCTAATCTGCCCATCTCAAAATGAATGGTACGTTCGATACCGGTCTAATCTGCCCATCTTAAAATGAGTGAGGTTGTGAAGTGTAAACGGTATAACGATAAAAATGGAAACTTGAAAATGTTGCTGCCTGCCTATAGGAAATGATCAATATCAGATCTACAACTGTTAAAAAAGGTATCTATTACTGAAGAGTTATAAATCAAATATGTAAACGACATATAAGGGTTAATTTTAGGACTAAAAAGATATTATATTCCTCTTCTAGAAAAGGTTTAAGAATGATCCTGTGAAATAAGTAGTGAAACTAGTACATGTAGTCTAATTGAGTTTCAGTTTATAAAGAATTAACTAGACAACACGTACATACATACATACATATGGAGAATATTGATTTAAATGTGTGTGTTTTATCAATAATTTACAGTTATCGATAAATTATGTAATGTGCTAAAAATGATAAATTGAAGTTTACGTTAACATTATATGCTAGGAAACATGAACTCTGGCCTTTCATACAACTCTCAATATTTTCCCCCATTTGTACTTGTACAAACAGAGACGTTTCTCTAATCTTCTGTTTATTGAAGACTACGGCTTAAGCGACGGAAGGCTCTACTAGGCTACGAACAACGCGTGGGTAATGTTTAGTTTGTCATCAATTATTTGGCTTCTCATTAAATTACGAAGAGTTACAATAGCTAACATCAACATGTGAAAAAGACTTTAATTTCTGTGAGGTATTTCACGGTAATTATTCATTAAATTTCAAAGGAGCTGATACGAAGTTGTGAAACGTTTACGTTAATGAATTCGTGTATTTGAACTTGAAAACGAATAAATAACGTTACTGAACGACAGTTAGTTCGAAAATGACACGCGTATGAAAGGATTAAATTATAACACACAGAAGATTCACTTGAGAATAAAATTAAAACTTTAATGGGAATTTTAAACAAGGTAGTTTTTGCTTACCGTCTTTCCGTTGTCGAATCGAAATTCTTTTCCAGACATTTTGTTATCTAAAGATACTTGTTGACTTTAGAACAGGGGGCTTTGAAAACAATCTAACTTTATGTTTACTTAAACTACATGATTTGTGATAAGTTTTATTTGTTATCTAAAGATACTTGTTGACTTTAGAACAGGGGGCTTTGAAAACAATCTAACTTTATGTTTACTTAAACTACATGATTTGTGATAAGTTTTATTTGCCAAATAAAAACAAAGAATCTGAATTACAAAAGACACATTAACCCCCCCCAAAAAAAACAACAACTTATAATTAAACTTTCAGAAAATATTTTTTTATGTAATTCACATTGAACTTGGATTAAATAATGTATATTACTTGTTACAATGTGTATCATTATTACATAGCTTACTATGAAAGTGATTTTAAAAAGGCATTTTTATATAACTTACCCTGAAAGTAGGTCAAACAATCTATTTTACTTCATTCATAGTATGTCCCCCAGTGGCATAGCGGTATGTCTGCGGACCTACAACGATACCCGTGGTGGGCAGAGCACAGATAGCCCTTTGTGCTTAACTACAAACAAACAAATTGTTCATAACCATACATACCTTTGCTCATGATATTTACGTTTCTTACCCATATTCCAATATCTTATAACCACGACTTATCTTCTCTTATAACCCTTGCTCATAACACTTTTCCTCTTTGGTCATTTACCATTTCACTGATATCCCCGCTTTTTATCCCTTCTACTTATATATCTCAGACCCCTAACATTACTTCGTTAATAAGGTATCCAATGGATTATCTTATGGTGTTAACATACGGGGTATTTCTTGAATACATTCTTCAATAATATTTTCTTTTTGTTGTTTCAAAGTATCTGTTGAGTTAAGCATTCATTTTGTAAAGTTTTACATACTAATACATACGTGTTAAATTCGGTTAAGTTTTACAAAAACCATGTACGTTGCTTACAGAACCAGGCGAGTTGATGTGGTCAATACCTACTTTTTAGCGCTGTATAAAGGTTTATTTTGTATAGCAGTGCTTTCATACAAAGGTTTCAGTGACTGTTGAAACAAATATCAAAAAGATTCGGAGCTTTAGCACTGAAGGAAAACATATCGTATTTCAAACGACTTTATATATCGACGAAAACTCGTAAGTTGAATGCTAGATGTTATTACCAGCAGCCTTCTGGCTGTATGCTGTATTATTGGTTTATGTACTTTGCTTTTAATAGCTGAAATGTCCTAAATGTATCACGTAGTTAGGCTTGAATTCCAGGAGATGGGTTATCTACTGTGAAGTGTGAATTTCTTAGTTATATGAAATCCTACAAACTTCTCACGTTTCTGTGTAAACAAACAGTACTACATGCTCACTACCAGTATGGAAAAAAGACATTAACGAGGATTTTGTTTGTAATTAAGCACAAAGCTACATAATGGACTTTCTCATAAATTCTCATTTGCAATAAAATCAAATGGTAAGATATTTCTAATGAAGCTTTGACCACTTGGCACATTGTTTAAATCATCTCTCGATGTGATTGGTTTAGAAGCAATGAATCAATGAGCTGTTTGTGTAATAAGGCTCAGTCCTCTAACAGAGTTCCTTCCAACACTTCTTGAAGGTAAATTAGGCACAACAAATTTTCTTTCTGGAACATACCATGCGTTTTACATGAGATTTAAGTCCAGTGAGAGTACTGGTTAGTTCAATATCCTCTTCTTCCAGAAAGTTGATAAACAGTTAGGCACGATGGGGTTTTGTGTTGTCATCCATATAGCAACACTAATAGTTGTAAGAATCGTATGACATATAGTAGCACACAAAGGCCACTGTGGTCATCATTACTGATCCAGGCTCAAACCACTATGATACAACTATCAAGTCCTTACTCAGCCTAATTAGGGTTGGATTTGGTTCCGAGCTCTCGTATCTGGTTGCAATGTGCATCGTGATTTGTCTGTAAACAAGACATTAATTCGTCCACGTGTTCTTACATTGCTGGATTTCCGACACTGGTCTACTCTATCCAGATCTCCGGCTAACTGTGTTGATGGTCTGAAAGCGAGTCCATTGTCCTGTTAACTATACTTTGTGAGGCTTGTAGCCATTATTCTACAACTTTTGCGTTCGAACAGTTTCTATCCAACCTATTGTCCTCAACGTCATGGAAAGGTCCGATTAATTTGTTCGTTTGTCTTTTGGTGGAAGCCCCGGGGTGTCCTGGGGCATATTTCGCTAGAATTTAAATCTCCCTACACACCCTACTCTTGTTCAGATTGCTAATTGAGAACAAGAGTATGTTTTGTTTACTTTTATATAAAACACTACAATGTGCATGTCGGATCACATAATTACCCACCTGGTATTTAATTTTCGTAAAAATGAACTCAGGGTTTGCATTGACAACTAATAACAATAGTTGTGCTTTATCATAGGTAGAGTATAGAAAACTCTGATCATTTTGTTATTATTCTGAGAAGCGTATTTACTAGATATTAAAAGCTAATACTTAGTAACAAACTCCGATAATAAGTTGAATGTGTTTTTGTTTGTGGTTAACTGGTTTCTCTGAATCTTCACGCAACTTTAAGGCACCATGGCTGGATTCATGACACGGATCGGCATCTATCTGAGTCTGCTTTGTCTAACAATAAGCCCTGTTCTTTCCTATAATGACGACAAAACGATCTACAAGTGGAGCCCCCTATATTTCCGCAATCTGAAGAAGAATCTTTGGGTAAACTCCATATCTAAATATTTTTGTTTGAAACTTAAATAGCTCTACAAACTTCTCTTTCAAGTTATATAATCATTTCATAACAACTTTTTCATAATTTATAGGCTTTTAAATATTTTAAATTGAAATAATTAATTTTAAAAAATCGTTACTTAACAGTTTTTTAATGGTGACAAATTGTAAAGGAATAATTTGAATTGCTTGTTATTTATATTTATATTAAATCTAGCTGCATTTTGTCACAATGGAAATTTAATTCATTCATTTGTCATTTACTAAACGAAATAAATTATGTTTTATGGTTTCTCAAGATGGGTAAAATAATTGTAGAATATTTTCGTGTCTATTAAACACTATTTCAGCCTTAACGTACATTAGATAACGAATAAGCTTGAAATTAGTTTCAACAAGACGAGATCAAATAAACCAGCAAGATTTCTTCGTTGGAAAACTAGATTTTCATATTTTTATCTTTTATTTATTATTCATAGGTGAAATCTCAGATATCATTGGTCTATTATGATTAGAAAACAAATTAAAAATACATTTCATTGCGAACTCCATATGTTCACTTCACTAAAATTGCACACGAGTAATGCATTTAAACAATTCTAATGAAAACCCTTTCTCTACAAATAGGCACAATTCGTTTTAGTCAGCATTGTGTTTTGTTAACACAGAGAAGTATTGGATGGCACTACATAACATAGGAAGTGATATCTGTTGGATGTGAAATGCAAAATTAAATATATATATAACTTCATTCTTGAATCATTATGTAGTTCAAAATGTTTTTCTTGCATTACTAAGTACTCCCTACTTTTTGGCAGGTTCACATGACTTTCTTAAGTCACAAGCCTTCCAATGATGTATTGAAATCTAGTTCATTTGTTCCTGGTGTGTTATTTCTAGCCGCGACACAGCAGCTCACAGAATGTCTCTGAGTTTTTTTGTTGTTGACTGATTTGAGATCTAATTACAGCCGCACCTACTGAGAATAATTCTTGTTTCTATCTTATATTTGTTTATTTTCATCTTACCTTTTATCGTTAGAAACTTCTGCTCGTTAATTACCAGACAGATTTCCTGCTAAAAAGTCCACCAGTGAAAGAAGGGAAACAAAGTGAGGTGACACACAGAACGTTCTATCCACAAAAATTCCTGTAAAGTTCTAACTCCGCAATTAACTCACTAATTTATTAAAACAGGCAATTACATGGTGTATTTACACAGGACGTGGCAAAATTAACATGACATTACGTACTATACTTACACAGGACATGACAAAATTCACAACATAACAGTGACGTGCGGTGTTCTTAGCTAAAACGTAATACATCACAGATAAGCCTTTAATGCTATAAAACAGGATGTTCGAATGTATATCCAGAAAATGCAATAATTCCAATTCGACCACCAATAAAGAGACGGGACACGAAGACATTCACAAATAAGCAGAATCGTTCATCACTTAATACTTCCCCCCAGTGGCACAGCGGCATGTCTGCGGACTTATAATAACGCTAGAAACCGGGTTTTGATACCCGTGGTGTGCAGAGCACAGATAGCCCATTGTGTAGCTTTGTGCTTAACTACAAATAAACAAACACTTAATGTTTTATATAACCAATAAGTTGGCACGCGAAAAAAACAATACTTTTATTTATTAATGTGGCCTAAAGGTTTGTGGTGGGGAATGTTGTCTTGGTGTCTCCCCTTCAATCTATGAGTTCGGTTTGTGATGGGGAATGTTGTCTTGGTGTCTCCCCTTCAGCCTATGAGTTCGGTTTGTGGTGGGGAATGTTGTCTTGGTGTCTCCCCTTCAATCTATGAGTTCGGTTTGTGGTGGGGAATGTTGTCTTGGTGTCTCCCCTTCAATCTATGAGTTCGGTTTGTGGTGGGGAATGTTGTCTTGGTGTCTCCCCTTCAATCTATGAGTTCAAAATTTATTTGCTTATTTAATCTAGGTGGCTTTCTGACCACATGGTGAGCTATACTAACTAGACCAGTAGCACTTCTGACCACATGGTGAGCTATATCAACTAGACCAGTAGCACTTCTGACCACATGGTGAGCTATACTAACTAGAC